TGGTAGTGGTAGTGGTAGTGGTAGTGGTAGTGGTAGTGGTAGTGGTAGTGGTAGTGGTAGTGGTAGTGGTAGTGGTAGTGGTAGTGGTAGTGGTAGTGGTAGTGGTAGTGGTAGTGGTAGTGGTAGTGGTAGTGGTAGTGGTAGTAGTAGTAGTAGTAGTAGTAGTAGTAGTAGTAGCAGTAGTAGTAGTAGTAGTAGTAGTAGTAGTAGTAGCAGTAGTAGTAGCAGTAGTAGTAGCAGTAGTAGTAGTAGTAGTAGTAGTAGTAGTAGTAGTAGTAGAAGTAGTAGTAGCAGCCGTAGGAGTCGTAGTGGTGGTTCTAGTGGAACTGATTAGTCCTTAGTTGATGGAGGTAGAGGGCGAGGACTAGATAATGATGCAAACGTAGCTGTATGCGTACATTCACACATAGATACAAGCATGCACGCATACATCGAAAGAGAGAGAAGGAGCCAGCGAGCGACTGGTACATAGACATATACATAGGGAGAGAGAGAGAGAGAGAGAGAGAAAAATAGAGAGAGAGAGAGAAGAAACACAACAACACAAGAGAGACAGAGAGAAAGAGCGAGAGAGAGAGAGAGAGAGAGAAAGAGAGAGAGAGAGAGAGGGAGGGATATAGAGAGAGAGAGAGAGAAAGAGAGAGAGAGAGAGATTGAGAGAGAGAGAGAGGGAGAGAAAAAAAAGAAAAGAACAAAAAAAAAAACGACGAGAGAGAGGGGGGGGCAATGCCCAGGGTGGCCGCCTTTCTCGGGGAAGCGTGGCATTATTCGGAGACCTTGGGATGCATCAGTGAACTGGGCGCCTCTTGGGTGCCTCTCAGAATCGCTTGGGATGTCTCCTGGGAGCTCTTGTTGGTCGTTTAGGGCGCCTTGGGAGCCTCTTGAGAGCTCTTGGGGTCCTCGTGGGGAGCCCCGGCCTCTCCTAGGGATCTTCTTACGGGCCTCTTAGGGGCCTTTTGGAAGCCCATCTTGTGGGTGTTCGGAGGCCGTCTTGGGTCCACCTCGGAGGACATCGATCAAAGAAGGGAGGGTCCTTATTAGCGCCGCCCCTCGAGGGCCCCAAAAATCGATTCTGGGGGCCCTCTTGGAGCGCTCTTGGGCGCCCTTGGGCGCGGCCGTCGTGGGGCCCGTTTGGTTCTCTCTCGGGACCCTTTGGAGCGATCTTAAGGCTCCGGGCCATCGGAAACGAACGGGCGAGAAGGCCAGCATCATGATGCTCTTGGGTTTGGCGCAGTTTTTGGCCTCCTGGGGACGTCCCTGGGAGGCCCCAAGGCCACTTGGACCTGTCTTGGAGTAGACTTGGGACCTGTCTTGGAGCAGACTTGGTGCATCGTGGGTCCTCTGACTGCTGACCGCCCCCCCTGTCCAGACGAAGGGGGAGGGGGCACGTGGAGGGGGCGCGCCCCTCCCCGGAGGGGAAGAAGGGGGAGGAAGAGGAAACGCCCTGAATCACCTGCGCCCGCAAGGGCTAAACGGTGTTTTGTCGCTTTCGTGGGCCATTTTCTGTTCGACCCCGTTTTGCAGCAAAGGCGGCACGCAGATGGGACGAGGGACAGCGAGCACATTGCGAAGACGCACGACACTGCTGGAGAGGCCTGTGCGCATCTGTACTCAGCTCCGGCCTCGCGCAGGGGGAGCCGGGCGCGAGGCGCGCGCGCGGCGCGCGGCTCTCAGGTTCCTGCCGTCCGAGGTGGCGCAGCGAGCCATCCGGGAGCCCCCCCCGCCCCGCGGCCGGGCGCGCTCAGCGCAGCCCGTCGTGCCCCCCGCCTCTCGGCTGCACCCAGGAGGCGTTCCGGAGAGGGTTCCGAGGCTCGGAGGCTCGGAGGAGTCGGCACCTCTCCCCGGCAGAGGGCGGCGGAATCCAGCTACACGCCGGGCGTTGAAAGGAAGTATTCCTGCAGAGTCCCAGATGCCAGTCTGCTTCAAGTGCCTCCCTATTTCAAGAATCGAGAGGTTTTTTTTTTTTTCTCTGGGAGGACTTGGACCCAATCTACTTGATCCGCCTTCCTCCTTCATGTGTTTACCCACTTTTTCCGACCGACGTGGAATGGCCTTCGGCCCATCCCGCCACCGTGCCTGGGTTGTGGGCCACAGGCATCTAGGACGTTCGTTGGGATGTCGCGGGAGGCCTCTCCGGGGGCCGTTTTGAGGCCTCCTGGGGGCCGTTTTAAAATTGCGTGGGGCGTCTTCGAGGCTTCTTGGGGCCCTCCTTGGGGCCCTCCTTGGGACCCCGTGGGGCCTCGTAGGGCCTCCTTGGGGCCTCATGGGGCGGAAGACTTAGATTTTCGGTCCGTGTGTCCCCTCTTCGACCCCTCTTGGGGCTGTCATTCGACCTTTCTTGGGCCGTCTTGGGTGCCTCTAGGGCCGTCGTGGGGGCCTCTTCGAGGACCCCAATCAGAATTGAAAAACCATGGGGAATCAACGATGTTGGCATTTCGGGGCCCACTTGGGAAGGCTCTTGGGGCTTTCTTGGAGCTCTCTTGGGGCGTGTGGGAGGCCTCTTGGGCGTCTTGGTGCGATCTTGTGGCGTCTCGGGGCTCTCTTGGACCGATTTTGGGGGCCTCTCGGGGCCTTTCTTGGCCCGTCTCGGGGCCCTCTGCTGGCCCCTAAAAACTCGTGCGAGAAGATGCCCCAGAGACCAGGGGGAACCGTGCCAAGCCAACACAATATTTGAGAATTTGGGGTCCAGTCCCCTGGAAGATTCCTCCGGAGTGAGGCGGGCCAAGGACCTCAGGACAAGCCCACTCCATGCCTCGCAGCACGGTGGCGGATAACGAGGCCGTCTCCGCCGGCGGAAGGCCAGCGGAAGGCCAGGGGAAGCCAGCGGAAGTAAAACATGCCCCCCAAGGGACGGCAACCTTCCTGGATTTCCAGAACCCGCCACGTAAGAGCGACCTTTCGCTGGAGCGACCTCATGGTAGGGGCGCAGCGGGGTCCCCAGATGATTGAAGACGGTGCGACAGCAGCGTCTTGCGCCCTCGGTCTTGACCTCCCCGCGGCTCCCGGGAGTCCCGCACCAAGCTCTTGCCTGGGGTCACCCCTGCGTGTGGTGGAGCGTCGGCCCTGCATCCCCGCCCAGTCGTCGTCCTGCACGGCTCCCTCCCCTGGGATCCTGGCGTCGCCCGGTTTCTCACGTCCGGCAATGCCGCCCTCTTTCGGGCGGCGGGGCCCTCGCGGACCGAGCGGGCTCAAAAAGTGCAGCAGGAAGATCGGGTCGTACTGTTTTTCGTGGCTGTTGTATGGTTTTGTCTGCAATGTTGTATTGTTGTTCGCGACGCCGGATCTCAGGGACCCCTCTTCGCCCTGCGCTTGGTCACTGCCGCAGCTCTTCGTGCTGCTGCCTCTGCCTCCTACCCCAGACCTCCTCGCGCCGTGGAAAAGCAAAAGCACCAGAGTTTTTGGCTCGTTGAACTGGGCGCTGGGGAAGCCAACAAAAACGGTTCAGGATGAACAGCCGATCCCTTGGGGATGGGTCGAGATCTCCAGGAGCCCGCGCAATGAAACAACGAGACGTTGAGGCTCTCGGGGTGGCTCGGCCCTGCGGTACCGGGTCCGGATGTGATTGCCACCAGGGGCATCCCGAACCGCTCTGCCGCGGAACGGGTTCGCCGGCGAGCCGGCATCAGTCGAACCCTGACGGGCGGATCGGAACGGGCGGGTCGCACTGGCCGGGCGGGCGGGAAACTCGAGTGGGCGGTCGCTCCGGTTCCGATCCTGGAGCTGTTTTTGTTGCCGTTTCCCATCGCCGTTTTGTTGCCGCTTCCATGTTCAGGGGACACTTTTTCGGAAACGGTGGAAAAATGGCCCTGGTGTTTCCGGGGCCCACTATGGGCGGGCGGGGTCGCAAGCGAGCGAGCGGGCAGAGCGGGCCTGAAGAGGCGGGTCGGGCGAGCGGGCCCGAGCCTGGGCGGCGGGGGGGGGCCTGCAGCGGTCCGCGGGCGAAGCGGCCCTGTTGGCAAGGCGCTCCAGGGCGGAGCGGGGCAAGCGGAGCGGTTCGCGGGCGCAGCGGTGCCACGCCACTCAAGCAGTGGCGAAGCGTCCTGGCTCGCCTATAGCCCTATCAAGCAATGTTCTAGGAACCTTTTGTGGTTTCCACGAAATGTTCTTAGAACAATTCTGGCGGAGTCTGTGTTGTTTTTATCTCATCGGCCTTATGTTCTAAGAACATGCTTTTTGTTCGTAGAATCTACGTGGAACATTTCTGGGTTCTAAGAACACTTCGTGGTAGGACTATGGGACGGTCGGTCCCTGCTCAAGCCATGTGTCGAAGGACCAGCAAAAACATCACAGTCCGACGATCCGCGCGGACTTCTTGGATTCGCACTGGGTCTCCGCGGCGGCGCCTCCGGCGCCGGAACCAAATAACAAAGCATAGTTGACATTCCGACGATCCGCGCGGATTTTTTGGATCCGCGCTGGGCCTCCCTGGCGGCGCTTCCGGCGCCGCCCCCAACGCGCTCCGCGCGCCAGAGAGGGGGTTCTAGCGAAGATTCAAGAAAAAAGCGCGGACTGTCGAAAGTTTATGTTTATGCGTTTTTTGCTTCTCTAATGTGATCGAGTCCAGAGCCGATTCTAGAGCTCGGCCAGAACAGGTGCCAACATGACCCGCTCGCTCGCCCTCAATCCAGATCGGCATAACGCCTTCGTGCAGCGCCGTCATCCCGCTGCTTGCTCATGCCTGCCCCCTCCGCGGCGCTCCGCCCTTCCCCTCGTGCCTTCTCTGCGGCTGGCGGTGTGGAATCCCATCGAATTGGGAAGCCAGGTGGCACCTCCTCTGCGCTCCTGTGCTCGCGACATCACGGATTCAGGCCACTGCTGACGCAGAGCCTGCCACGCCCGACGCCCCTTCCTCCTCAACAGAGGAGGTGCCAGGTCGAGAGAAGCAGCACGATGACCACGACCAGGATGTCGCGAGAGCTTTGTCGATGCCGACCCACGAATCAGCGATCCACGAATCAACGATGACAGGACGATGTACGGTGACCAAGATTGACACCGACGTTACCGCGTTCAGGTTTGGTCATGGTCATCATTTTCTTTTTTCACCACGTGAGCGACGCAGACAGACGGGGTCGTCTTCACTAACATCTGCGCGTGAGCTGCCCGCGTAATGTCGCGCGTAAGCGCCCTCTTCACGCGGTGTGCCACGCTGGCGGTCCGCGTAAGGCGGCGCGTAAGGCCACTATGGCATCTCGCGGAAAACCCGTCTCTTGCCGTCGTTAGAGAAGCAGTCAACGCACAGGGAAGGGATGGGCAGGAGGGACAGGATCCGATCGAAGAAGAAGATCGGCACACATATAAGCTTTTGGCGTTCCGCGCGGATTTCTTGGATCCGCCCTTGACCCCTCCCTGGCGCGCCGAGCGCGTGAGGGGCGGCGCCGGAGGCGCCGCCAGGGAGGCCCCAGCGCAGGTCCAAGAAACCCGCGTGGAGCTCCGGCAGTCTCGTCCTGCGCGTCAGGCGCGGCGCGAGCGCGCGGGGCCTGCACCCCCCCGCCCTCTCCACCCCCCCCCCCCCCTCTCCTACAGGGGCCAGGATCTCAGGCTCCCTCCCCCCCTTCCCGCCCGATGTCGAAGCGCCGAATACGAGAACGCTCACATGAGAAACGTGGCCTCGGAGGCCAGCGTGCTGTGCGCAGCCCCGCCGCGGCCCTCGATGGGGGGGGGCAGGGGCGTGCGCCAGGGCATGGCGTGGCTCCGGAGTTCGCCTCGCCTCCTCCCCCCCCCTGCCCTCTCCTCCCGCCCTCTCCTCCCCTCTCCTCCCCGGAGGAGGAGGAGGAGGAGGAGGAGGAGGAGGAGGAGGAGGAGGAGGAGGAGGAGGAGGACCCCCCCCCCTGGCCCTGGGGCGAGCGCCGAGCGAGGGGGCGGTCCTCCCCGGCGGCCGGGCGCCCCTCCCAGGAGTTCCACCCCGGCTTCTCGAAGATCTCCTCCACGGCGCCGGGGCTCAGCGCCTCGCCCGCGAGCGCCGCTCCCCCAGAGCCTCAGGGGGCGAGGATAGAGTCGGGGCCCTGAAGAAGGAACCCTTTTCGTTGGGGAGGGGCTCGGTGTTCCTTAGTTGTTCTGCAGTTCGCCTCAGGGTTTCCTTATGTTTTCGACCAGAAATCGAAGGTTAACTTATGGAAAAAAGGAGGCGAGGATAGGGGCGAGGATAGGGGCGAGTAGCCCAGGGGGAGAGCAATACATCAAAGCGTGAATTCCCTACCCCGCTGTCGCTTCCAGGCAAAACCGTCGCGTCAGGCCGCTGTCAAGCGGCCTGACCATGCACAGGCCGTAGTTTGGCATCGCTTGGTATCTCTTGGAAGCGAGGGTGGTCAAAAGCGAGGTAGGTTTGTTTGCCCCCTAATACATCTATTCATGCGTCTTCTTGTGCATCCTGGTGGAGGGTACCCTCGGATGTTCTTCAGCTTGCCTGGCAGAGGTTTCATGCTCTTGAAGAAGGTTCGTCTGTCCCAGGTCTGGCCGTATGTTCAGAGGCGAGGATAGGGGCGAGTAGCCCAGGGGAGAGCAGTACATGTACTCAGGTGCCCCGAAGATCTATGTCTTCGAAAGGCTCCTGGGCGAACACGCGTAGCGCACGCCCCTGGGCTATTCGCCCCTATCGTCGCCACCGAGGCCCCCGCGACCCCAGATAAAATTCACGGCGGAGGGTTTTCCTAAATTTTCTGCCTCGGGGGGCCCTGACTGGGCCTCGGGGCCGTCATAAGCAACGACTCCGGATGACAAGCCGGTCCTGGGAAATGGGTCGCGACTCTCTGATCGGGCGGGCGGTAATGGGGGGGTGAACTCAATGGGAGGTGAAGAAAACAGCCCTACCGGGGGCCCTTCAGGACCTTTTTTTTTACCCAGCCGGGGCCCCAAAGCCCCAAACGGGCCCTAAAGGTGTTGTTTTAGGGCAAGACATGTGTCCAGATCCACTTCAGCTTTGCGTCTCGGGCTCCCTTCCCCAGAAATCCGAAGCGCACTCAACATGGACAAACAAAATTCTGGTCCCCAGAGGCTCGACGTTCGTCCATATCCAGTCCGCCGCGGCCTTGTGGCGCCGTTTCCAACAACAACGTCCAATCTTGTCCGCAATGTTCTTCCCCCCCCCATTCATTCGCGAGCCCACCGGGGACGTGCACGCCCAGCCACGTACATGAGTTTGGCCCCCAGTCCGCGAGGCCAGCCCGGTGTTGCGAACGTTCTCGCAGTGCGTACTTTCGAAGCCAACAGGGGCGCAGTGACGTGTACGGCAGGTTCGCGTCGTGTCGACTGGTGGCGGCCCCGCCGTTGGCGTTCAAGGTCGAGCGCCGCCGCCGAGCCGGAATCGTTCGGCGTCGACTGGTCAGACGCGTCGGAGACGGCCGATCGGTCAAGGCTGAATAATCCCCGCGGTGTCGGGAATCAAAGCTGGAGTCGACACGACACGAACCTGCCGTGCGTCCTCCTTTCGCTCCTGATTCCACTCACCCCCCAGTGCCACCCGCCCGATCGGAGCCGACGTGACGAAAATAACGACAGCAGGGGGTCTGGGCTCGCCGCTGGTCGGCCGCGCCCTCGCCAACGGCGCCGTGGGCGCCGCGGCCGCCGGGCAGCGCGTCGTCCCAGGCCCCGCGCGTCGTGAGCAGATCGCAGCGGGAGGTTGTTGGCCATGGTTGGTCGGCATGTCCATCTTCATCGTCCCCGCTCCCACCTGGGGCAGGGTAAGCAGGCTCTCCCAGCGTACCCCCCTCGAGGTGAGGATGGGCGCTCCGAAATCTGAAGGAGACGGTGCCCATTCCCACCTATAGGGGGGTTAGGTTTCCCAGCGGGGCCACGGTTTCCCAGGGGGGGGTGGGGATGGTTTTGCGCTTCCAGAGTCTAGGCCTCCCAGCTGTGGTCGGAGTAGATGGGGTCGGAGGATTGCGCGGCATCGCCGATGCATCGCCGATGCGATTTGACGTCGAGCCCGATTCTCTCCATGCCCTCGTTGCCGATGCGTCGCCGACGTCGCCGGTGCATCGGCGATGGATCGGCGTTGCTTCGCCGATGCATTGGCGATGCGGCGCGCACCTCCGCCCCCATCTACTCTGACCCCATCTAGGAGGCCTCTAGCGTCTGCTTGTCTGAGCAGGTCCTTGACAAGCTTTACATGTTGCCGCGCCGTTGGTTCCGACGCGTGGCCTTGCCTGGGGAGGGTGCCTCGGCCACCCGGGCAAGTGCCGCGTCGGGCTCGGTGGGTTCGCCGTGGGTTTGCCGCGGCGCCAGCTTCGTCTGCTTGGGCGCTGGACGCAGAGTGTTCCGTGGGTTTGCCTTGGGTTTGCCGTGGTGTCGGCATCGTCCACTTGGTCGCGTCGAAAATGAACGTCGCGGCGACACAACACTTTTGGCGTTGCAATATTTCTGCGCAGATGAGTTGAGCATCAACATGGCTTAGCATGTACGCTAGCTGTTGCAACGCATTGTGCCACTACTTTCGGCCCCGGAGGGCCCTCGCCAGTTTCCGGGGTCATCAAACATCGGCCCAGGATGAAAAGCTTGTCCCGGGGAACGGTTCGAGACCACTGGGAGTCGGCGTTGTGAGAGAGACATGACTTCGCGGGTCTGGGTTCTTTGTGTCGCCGTCCTCGCTGTGGTTGGCGTCGCCACCGCCGTCGTGATAAGCCTTTGTCGCCGCCTTCGTCGTCGAAGGGGCTGTCGTAATTCGTTGTTGTCGCCTGCGTCGTCGTCATCGCGGTCGTCTTCACCGAAGTCGTCGTCGTCGCCCTCGTCTTCGCCAGAGTCGCTGCCGACGGCTGCTAGCCATCGTCGCCGCCTTCGCCTGCCTGAGAACGAGAGGTCCCCAGTGCGAGGGGTCCCGAGGATCTTCCCAGTTCTGCCACTCCCGGGGACGCTCTTGGGCCCCAGAGGGCAGTCAAGGAACAGGGCGCATCGTCGGCGGCAAGAGCGCGGGGCCCTGCGAGTGGCGTTGACAGGCCAGCGCGCGCGCCGCGAGAGCTCGGGCGCCGCCGCCGCCGACGACGCCGACGACGACGACGACGCTGCCCCCGCCGACGGCGGTGACGGCGACGACGTCGACCTCCTCCTCCTGCTCCTGCTCCTGCTCCTCCTCCTCCTCCTCCTCCTCCTCTCGGAAGGCAGTCAAGGAACAGTCCGCACGTTCAGGAACCCTTTCCCTCATGGAAGCAGTTTCGCCGGCCTCGTCTTCGTTGTCGCTGTCATTCCTGGCGTCGCTGGGCAAATGGGCCTCGTCTTCGGGATGGTCGTCGTCGTCGGCGTCGAAGGCCAGGTTGGAATCGGCGTCGTTGAAGTCGTGGTCGCTGTCCCGGCGTCTAATTATGCCGAAGTCGTTCACGTCGTCGTCGAAGTCGAAGTCGTTGTCGTCGTCTTCCCCGAAGTCGTTGCGGAAGTCGATGTCATTGTCGATCGCAATGGGGGTTGTTCTCGTCTTTGCCGGCGGTCAAGGGAAAGCGGGAGGAGGAGGAGGAGGAGGAGGAGGAGGAGGAGGAGCGGGAGGGGACGGCGAGGACGACGACAGGAGACAGTAGGAGCAGCAGGAGCGGAATCAGTTAGGAGCAGGAGGAGGCGGATACCCAATTGCATGGTGGATTGCCGCCCAAGCTCCTGTTTTGCAGGTCCCCGGAGGCCCTGGAGCTCCCAATATGCACAATTCAAAAGAGGAAGCGTCCCATAGCCTCGGCGTTCGATCCCAGAGCGTCATGGGCAGCATGTTCCAAGGAGCAGGAGGCCCAGACCCCCGACGCCGCTATTTCCATGGCCTCCGGCCTGTGCAGCCGGTCCGGGGCTCTCCTGTGAATTGAGGGTTGCCACTGCGCAGCGAGAAGCGAAGTGGTTTGAGGTTTGATTGGGTCTCGTCAGCGATTTTGCTGTCGAGCAATACCAAAACAGACCATGCAGCTCTGGCCTGACAGCGCGCGAGTCGGCCACTCTTGGTGCCCTTCTGGGGGCTGCTTGGAGGCCTTTCAGAGACCCTTTGGGGCCTCTTGGGGTATTCTTGGGGGTCTCATGGGGCCTCATGGGGACGTCTCGTGAGCCTCTTTGGGACTTTGTGGGGTGGAGGGCTCGAAGTGTTGGTTCGAGTTCCCCTGTTGGGACCGTTTGGGGGACCATTTCGGGCCGTCTTGGGGGCCTCCTTCTTGCCATTGCGGAACCCTCTTGGGCCGTCCTCGGGCCCTCTTTGGGGGCCTCTTGGGCTATCTAGGGGCGGTCTTTGGGGCCCCTTGGACCGTCTTGATTGTTAAAATCATACCACAACCCAAGGGAGTTGGGAGAGATGGGTCTCTCGGTGCCTTCTGGGGGGTCCTCTCGGGGCCCTGTTGAAGCGTCTTGGAGGTCTCCTTGGGCCGTCTTGAGGCCATTTTGGGTATCCTGACGCGCTCTCGGGCCGTCTCGTGTGCCTCTTGGACCGTCTTGGTGGCCACCTGGACCCGTCTTGGCCCGCCTTGGGGCGGTTTGGGGATTCCGTGCCCCCCGCCCGCCACCGCCTCCCTCCCCCTCACCCCAGCAGAACCACCCTGCCACACACACACACACACATACACACACGCACACACACGCACACGCACACACACATCCACACACACACACACCCACCCACCCACCCACCCACCCACGCTCACACACACACACACACTCACACACACACACACACACGCACACACACACACGCACACACACACGCACACACGCACACACGCACACACGCACACACGCACACACGCCCGCCCGCCCGCCCGCCCGCACGCACGCACGCACGCACGCACGCACGCAGTCACGCCGACGCACGCACGCACGCACGCACGCACGCCGACGCTCGCACGCACGCGCGCACGCGCGCGCACGCGCGCGCGCACGCCGACGCACGCACGCACGCACGCACGCCCACGCACGCCCACGCACGCCGACGCGCGCGCGCACGCACGCACGCACGCGCGCGCGCACGCACGCACGCACGCGCGCGCACGCACGCACACGCGCGCTCGCGCGCACGCACGCACGCAGGCACGCACGCGCGCACGCAAACGGCAGAGCTGAGCTCAGGCTGTAGCTTCATCAGAGTTGAAACCTGAACGTAGCCTCTAGCCTTTTTAGACTCACAGGCCGCATCGGTGGATGCTTTCAGGGAAACCCAGAGGTTTCGACCCATTCCCAAGAACTGGCTCTTGAAGGTCCCGAGGACCAGCGAGAGCCCCCAAGGCCGAAATTGCAGCAGCAACAACAGCAACAACAATTCACAGGCAGCGGTAGGGAGCATAGGGCTGCCTTGGGGACCCCGCCACATCGATTCGTGGAAGAAACGCGACCGGCGTTTTTTGTTGTGCTGTTTGATGTTTCTTTTTGGTTTTCTCTCATCGGCTTCTGGGTATCCTTGCTAGGCACCGGGACCGTCGAAAAAGCGACTCGGCATGAGAAGGTGGCTGTTTGTCTTCAGGCTCAGACATGTTCACTTGCATAGCATTCCCTCCACCCCTCCGCCGCATTTTCAAACAACGCTGTGTCGAACAGGCGTGCAAGCGAGTCCCAACTTTCGTGAAATCGAGTTTTATTTGATCGGGCGTCGCCACGCCCCTTCCCGCTCTATGCAAGTAAACTTGCTGCTGTTTTGCAAGAAAGCGCCCCAGACCCGTTCCAGAGAACGGTTGAGACTTCTGGGGGGTCCACGCTGCGAGAAAATCATGGCGTCGGGGGCTTGGGCCCTTTTCCTCTCCCCTCTCCAGTGCCGAGGCCCGTTGCCGCTGCCGCTGCAGAGCTATGTCCACGCCTCGTCGTCAGCATCGTCTAGCCCGTCCCCATTCCCACCGGGGCATGATATCTGGTATCTCAGCCCCACCAGCCCAGCCCTCCGCGTGGGGACAGTCCCCGCGAAACCCGAAGGGAACAGCATAGATGCCCACCTGGGAGGGGGGCCAAGGCCCCGCCAGTGAGGATGGGGATAGGTTCGACGACGCTCATCTGCGCTGCACGGGCGACGCCCCTCCCCGTGCCCTCCCCCTCCGCCCGCCGCTGCGTGCCGCGGCCCGGATCGGCCAAGGGGCCGAAGCCCGCGGGCGTGGCGACCAACCCGAGGCGGGGCCCCCCGTGGGGGGGGGAGCCCGCGCGGGCGTGCCGCGGCGGCCTCTTGGCCCCTCGGCGTGTGCCGCTGTGGCTGGGAATCAGTGGATGCCCGCTAAAACTTACCAGTTTGAAGCATATCCCTACCCCTATGTGTGACATCACCTCACCTCGATGCCGATCTAAAGGATTCCCTCAGTTTCTGAGGGCCTATCCCCAAGATTGGCCTCGCTTTTTGCTCGCCCATCCTACGGATAGGGATACGTTCGAGACTGGTAAAAAAACGTTGTCATCGTGCCCTGGGTGGCCCGATCTGGGCCACGGGGGCTCGGCCCACTTGGCCCAGATCTCCGTCTCCCGTATGCCCCTTAAGGCACCTGCAGCCCACTTCCAAGCTGGGTTACGGTGGGGGCGTTCGTTTAGGAATGTGTCCATGAGGCTTCAGACCCTGGAGGGTTCCCTATCTGATGAGGGCGGCGGTGATACCCATGGCCAAGCCTCAATTGGAGTTCCACCGGCCTCCAGACCCTGGATTCCTTATCGCCCTCGTCGGGCTTGCGTCCCCCGGGACCGTCCACAGAAACGCCTCGCCGAGAGAAGCCGGGTTCGGGGGAAGGGGTCGAGACTTCCGGGTTTGGACGTTGTGAGAAAATCATGGCGTCGGGGGCCTGCCGACTTCGATGCAGTCATCCGGGGGGGGGACGTTCGTGGACCATTTTTCGTTCTTACTGTGCTTCCCTCGTCTCCCTCCCTCCTTCCTCCGTCCTTCCTCCTCCACCTGGTGTGCTCCTCGCTCCGTGACGGGGGTCAGGAGGCTGCATGACTGAGCATTTGACCTGAGCTATTTTCTTTGTATTCGATGCCAGCGTTGTTGGAGGTTGTGCTTCTTCAGACTCAGGCGACTGTACTTGCATACCATCCCCACTCCCCCATCCGCCGCCTTTTCAAACAGCGCTGGGCCGACAATAGCTTGCAAGTCAATCCCGACGTGTGCGGAATCATGATTCCTTGTCGTGCCTCGCAGCGCCCCCCCCCTTCCACGCACGTAAACTTGCAAGAGCCCACGGGCAAATTGCCTGTTGCCTCATCTCTCGAGCTGTAAGAGAAGGGGGCTACTGCAAACGGGGGTCAGCCACAGCGCCTCGGCAGGGGGTCATTGACCCCGGCTTGCGCGCAGGATCTTGCATGATCTTGCAGGATCTTCCAAGAAAGCCTGACTGGCCAGGGTTTGCATGGACCTGGGTCAGTCAATCCTTATCCTTCTTGAAGCGGGCAAAAGTCAGAAGAAACAACACGGAGAACGATAGCCACGAAAAGGTCAAGTGAAGGAAGCAGGGCAGGAGGAGGGAGTACTCATGCATGTTCTTGTGTGCATGCCCCAACGCTACAAGCCGCCTCCAAATTTAGCGCGTTCGGAGCGATCGCGGACATTTCCAGTTACATACCACATAGCTTGCAGCACAGACGTGTGCATCCATATGTATATATATATATACATACAGGTATACATATACAGGTACGGTGCACCTGCATCGATTGCACAACCACATCGATTGCTCAATGTCGGTTGAGAGCATGCTTCGCGCCACTTCGTTTTCACGACGCAAGTTGTTCCACATGTACAGCACATCAAAGATTGTTCGAACAGGAATTGTTAGGTTTCCACGTTGGCTAACACACATGTGTATATATGTATGTGTATGTATATATATATATAATATCGATGTGCTATACATATATATGTATATGGATACGCAACATTTGAGGGTTCGCTTCGATTCGTTCAACGTTGGTCCTGCGCCCATGCGCTCCCAACAATTCGGTGACTGGGTAACTGGTGAAAGCAGTTGATGCCCACGAGGGGGATCGCGGTCATCATACCAGAACGGGCCGCAGGCGTGTCTTCAGCAGGGAAAAAGGGCAACGGCGTGACGGGGCCAAAGTCAGCCATGCGAGATAAGAGGAAGTAATAACCACCAGGGGGCTTGCGGCCATGCCATCCAAGGCGCAGTGCCATGAACGTCGACGGAGCAACGGCAAAGTTATTGACGCTTCGCGCCCCCACCAGCCAGCCCATCCAGACAGGATGTCCAGGCGAGTTGCCTCTCACAGGCTCTTCGGATGTCTTTTGGAAGCTTGTTTGGGGCCTCTTGGGGCGTCATGGGGCCCTCTTGGAGCGTCTTGGGTGCCTCGGGAAGCCTCTTGGGGCCTGGTTGGGGTCTCTTGGGAACCTCTTGGGCGTTTCTTGGGCGCCTCTTGAGGCCTTCTGTGCGCCCATTGGGTCGTCTTGGGAATCATCTTCGGCTGTCTGAGGTCCTCTTGGGACCATGTTGGGCAATCTCAGGTGCTTTAACTACACGCGCCCCCCCCCCACACCCCTTCCTCCAGGACCAGGGGAGGGGGTAGCGGGAGGGGTAAGACCTCCCCGATGGGGAAGAGGGAGGTTTTGGAAGAGTTGCCGCCCTAGACCACCTACGCCCAGAAGGCTGGCGGGACGAATGATCCGCAGCCAGGGCGGCGGGGACGAAGAGGAGACGGAGGGCGAGAACGATGAGGAGGACGGGCACGGCGAGACAGGCGGTCCCGTTGCCGCCAGAAGGGGGAACGGTCATGGCGAAATGTGCGTCTGCCAGCAACAGGTAATGTGATGACCGCGAGGTGAGTGAAGGTCACGGGGTCGAAAAAACAGTACCTGTGGGCGCGAACGGGGGCCGCGGGCGTCGGGAGCGGGGTGGATGCAAAGTCGGTCTGGCGAGGGGGCGACGCTGATGATCGCGAGAGGGGGCGAAGGTCATCGCTTTGAGAAGGGGCGGGGGGGCCGCCGTGAGAGGGGCGCGCAATGATAAGTTTGTCTAGTCGCGGGCAAAGCTTCAACGCTTTGCGCGTGCCTTTTGGGCCCTGCGCTGCCGAAAGATCTCTTGGACACCTCGGAGGCGTTTTTCCCCCTAACCACCCTGTGGTGTTGGGTCCTCGCTTTGAAGAGACAGAGCCGCGCGTCCCCACCCCTTCTCCTCTCCTCCTCCCCCTCCTCCCCCCTTCCCCCATCAGCATCAGTATCGCCATCTTCATCGTCATCGTGATCGTCGTCATCATCATCATCATCATCATCATCATCATCATCATCATCATCAGCAGCATCGGCATCATGGCTGTCATCATCACCGTCGTCATCGTCATCATCGTCATCATCATCGTCATCGTCATCGTTTTAGTCGCGCCCCTCACGCATTTCGTGGCCTCATAAGGAGCTCCACCCAAGGCCCCAGAGGCGCAGTCCGCATGGCGGCGCCGCCCCATTTTGGCACACACACACACACACCCCACACGTTTCATGCACCCATATGAGGGCTCCACCGAAGGTCCCAGTGGCGCAGTCCGCATGTCGGCGCCAGCCCATCTTTCCAAACCCGTCATACTTTTCGTGGGCCCCAGAGGGAGCTCGCTCCATTTACGGTCCCAGCGGCGCAGTCCACATGGCGGCGCCGCCCCGTTTTGGAACACCTTTCACACGTCGCGTGACCCCATCGGGAGCTCCACCCGAGGTCCCAGTTGCGCAATCCACATGGCCGCGCCGCCCCATTGTGGCACACCCCTCGCACGTTTCGTGGCCCCATATGGAGGTCCACCTGAGGTCCCAGTGGCGCAGTCCGCATGGCGGCGCCGCCCCATTGTGGCACACCCCTCACATGTTTCGTGGCCCCAGAGGGAGGTCCACCTAAGGTCCGAGTGGCGCAGTCGGCATGGCGGCGCCGCCCCATTGTGGCACACCCCTCACACGTTAGGTGGCCCCAGAGGGAGGTCCACCTAAGGTCCCAGTGGCGCAGTCCGCATGGCGGCGCCGCCCCATTGTGGCACACCCCTCGCACGTTTCGTGGCCCCAAGGGGGCTCCACCTAAGGGCCCAGTGGCGCAGTCCGCGTGGGGTACATGTCCTTCCCTGCTGTTGTTTGACCATGCCGCTCTGTTGTTCATCTTCTGCGTGGCGTGCCTGCTTGCCACGCCAAACGTTGCCGAGCCCCGTGCGCCGCCATTTCGTGTCCACTTCCTTCCCGCCTTGTTCGCGGCTGGTCCATGTCCGTTTTTCCTCTTGCTGTTTTTTCTGGATGCCGGTTCGCGCCACATTGTTCCGCGTAGCGTGCCTGCTTGACACGCCGAAGGAGGCCGAGCCCCTCGCGCCGCCGTGTTGCGTCAATGTTTTCCCCGCCGTGTGCTCGACCGTGTTGTGTCCAGTTCTTTCCTTGCTGTGTTTTCTCCCATGCCGCTTTCTTGGATTGTTTTGCGCAGCCTTCATGCCGTTTTGTGACACATTGTTTTGCGTGGCGTGCCTGCTTGCCACGCCGAACGTGGCCGAGCCCCGTGCGCAGCCATTTCGTGTCCATTTTTGTCCCGCCGTGAGCGCTGCCGTTTTGTGTCAATTTCCTTCCCCCTGCTGTTTTTTCCCCCCCGTGTAGCTGGAACGAGGGTCGAAACATCTTCGGCGTCGTAGGGCGCAGGGGTACCCCCATGTTCTTCGCCTGGTGGCCCCCAACCCTATGATGTTTTTCGTTTTGGGCGTTTCCGTGGGGCCCTTGGCCTTCGACGAAAGGGCTCGCGCTCTTGATCCACGTTTTGGTGGCCATGCTTCGACCGTACCATGTTGTTACATGTTGTTTGCGCGCCGTGCTTGCCTGCCGCGCCAAATGTGGCCGAGCCCCGTGCGCCGCCATTTTGTCGCCATTTTCTTCCCGCCCTGTGCGCGGCCGTTCCGTGTCCGTTTCCTTTCCTGGTGTGTTGTTTCCCCACGCAGTTGTTGTACACATTGTTTTGCGTAGCGCGCCTGCTTGCCACGCTGAGGGTGGCCAAGCCCCGCGCGCCGCCATGTTATGTCTATTTCCTTCCTTGGTATTTGTCCTTTTGCTGGCCCCCTCTCCTCATCTCACCTGCATCGCGATACTCGCAGCTCCCCCTCCTCCGCATCCTCCTCGTCCTCCACCTCCTCTTCCTCTTCCTCCTATTGATCCATACCCTCCGTCCTCGCATCTCTGCTTCGGTCCTGCGCATCGTTATCACCATCGCAATCATCGCCGCTCGCCCCTCGCACGTTTCGTGGCCACATAGTGAGCTTCACCGGAGGCCCCAGCGGCAGCGCCCGTATGGCGTCCTCCGAATTTCGGCACATCCCTCACACGTTTTGTGGCCCCATAAAGGGGGCACTATATCAGGCCCCATTAATTAGCAGCGCCCGCATGGCGGCCCCGCCCCGTTTTGGCACACTCTTCACACGTTTCGTGGCCCCATGAGGAGATCCATTCACAATTGCGTATGGTTGGGTCTTTCGCCAGGCTATTTTTGTTGTCTACGCCCGCGTGTGGTTCGTGCATCTCGCGGCCCATTTGGTTCGTGCATCTCGCGGCCCATTTGATAGTTTCGTGGCCGGTGGAACACGATGACGATGACTCATGTCCGCTCGTCTTGGAAGTGGCCCTGGTGTTGTTTGGACGCCTGTCTCGGGGGGGTTCTGAGGCTTGAGTGGACTTTGGGAGGGCCTTGGCGTTCGCGGCGTCGACTGGCCTACAGCTGGCCGACGACGACGGGGCCAACGTGGAAGACGTTTGCAAAGTAGGAGATGGAGCAGAAGATGCAGACCAGGAAACGAATGAGGAAGACGCGCAGCAGCCTATTGATGCACGCTCGATTTGGAGGTGGCCCTGGCGTTGTTTGGACGTTGTTCGGGAGGGTCTCAAACTTGCGGGGGCTTTGAGGGGCCCTGGCGTTCACGGCGATGACTGGCTTTCAGCCTGCCGAAGCGAGAGGAATTGAGTGATCTCGGGGGATGCAGCGGCGGCAGGTTAATGAAGCGGGCGCACGGACGTGAGCGTGATGGGCGTCGCGGTCATGCCGCCTGGGCCGTCGCGTCTCCGTGGTTGCGCACGCTTGACCTGGATCGTGAGTTCGGGGCGTCTTGGGTGTCCGTTGGGGTCTCGCGGCGCGTTTTTATAGGGTTTCTGGAAGCCTTGCACGGCTCGTGCATCGGAGGCCCCTGGATTTTTGTTGGGGAACGTTGCGCTGGACGTAGACGCGACGCCTCATGTTCGCGCGTGGGGGCCGATTGGGAAGCTTCCTGGTTTGAAGCATTTCTAGTTTGAAGCATTTGGGGAGTCTCTGGGTGCCTCTTGGGCCTTCTTGGGAGTTCTCTTGCGCCTCCTTGGGGGGTTTGGGCTGTTTTTGGGCCCTCTCGAGCCGTCTACGAGGCCTCTTGGAGCCCTCTTGGGGGCCCCTTGGGATATTTGTGGGGCCCGCAGGGGCCTGTCTTGGGCCGTTTTTGAGCTTTTTCGGGTCGTCTCGGTGCTCTCTGGGGCCATCTTGGTGCCTCCTTGGGGGCCTTTTGGGTGGGTCGTCTTGGGGCGATTTTAGGGGGCCTCTTGGGTCGTCGCGGACGCTGTCAGGACCGAAGGGGCGAATCTGCTAACATTTTACGTTTGCCGAAGACAATGTGACGAATTGCACCTTTGGGGGGCCCTCCGGGTAGCCTCTTGGGCGGTTTCAGGGCCACCGCGGCCATCTGGAAACCGTCTCGGGCTTTCTTCTAGCGCTCTTGGGCCATTTGGGAGGTATCGTTGGGCGCCTTTGGAACCTCTTGGGCCAGCATCGGGGCATCTTGGGCCGGCGTGGGGTGCGTTCTCGGTTGTCCGGGAGCTTTTCCGATAGCGTCCACAAAGTGAGTGTCGGCCATTCGGGGGGGGCGCGCATAACGTATAGTTGTAATACATGTAGATATACTTATATATAGATATATAGAGATGTTCGTATACACATATATGTAATTATGTCTGTCTATAGACATGTTGTTTGCATATTTGTGCACATGAAGATGTGTGCACTCGTGTTTCGGTTCATGTATACGTATGTAAACATGTATGTATGTACATATACACAGACGTATGAAAACACGATGCGTTTACACACACGCACTCATACTTGAGAGGCTTACGCCAGTCCGCCGACCTTCAGAAGAGGCGGGGGGGTCACGGTTGAGGCGTCGTGGGTCGTTCGGGCGTTATTTGGGGACTCTTGTGGGCGTCTTGGGAGTTGTTTGGGAGCGTGGTGGATCCTCTCGGAGGCAGTTCCGAAACGTCTTTGGGGGCCGTATCGGGGCGCGGCCGCTTGTGGTTTATTGTGGACCGCTTTTGGGCCGTCTTGAGGAAAGTTCGCCCCCCGGTGTACTCTTGCACAGACCACAATTAAGGCCCCCGCCGCCACCCAAGAAGTATCCCAGGAGGGCCCCAGGTCGTGGAATACCTCAAGGAAATCGATGATGTCTGCGTTTCCGCATGTTCCCTTCTACACAATTCCAAGGCTTGCACATGGCCTTTAGGAGAGTCCCTAAATGCAAGAAGCGTCAATAATGATATTCCATGCGTCAGCCTATCCAGCCTAGTTAGAACTGGAGCGCGCGCGAAGCGCGCGATGGTTCTAGGAGAGGGAGAGAGAGAGAGAGAGAGGAGAAAGAGAGAGAGAGAGAGAGAGCGAGAGAGACACCTGCACGCTCGTAAACCTGCATAAGTAGACATACGAACATGTGTTTTCAGGGCGGCTGGGTGCTGGGTGCGAAAGCCCCCCTCCCCCGGCAGGGCGGCGCTCTTCGACAAGGTCAGCGAAGTGCTCCGACGCCCCCCCACCAAGGAGGAGCTCGCGTACGACCAGGCACTGGCGGCGCCGCGGCGCTGCTGTCCCACCTCTCTTCCCGTGCAGGAGGAGGATCCAGGCCTCCTCTGTCCCCGCTGCTCTCCTCGTTCGAGGCCGGGGAGGAGGCCTACTCCCTCCCGGCTCCTCCTCCTCGGGAGGAGGAGCCCACCCGTTCGAGCTGCAGGTTAGCTTTGGCACGCGTCCGTGGCCAAAGACTCAATCAGCGCACCGGGAAGGCCTGGGTGGGAGGGGCAGGATGTCACCGAAGACGACAAAACGGCATCACCATAAATGTTTGGCGGTCCGCGCGGATTTCTTGGACCTCCGTTGGGAGCCCCTGGCGCCGCCTCCTGCGCCGCCCCTGGCGTGCTCAGCGCGCAGGGGGGGGGTCAGCGCAGATCCAAGAAAATAACTTTTTGTCGCGGCCGCAAGTGAAGGTGCAGGTGGCGTCCGAAGACAGCCTGGGCTACGAGCGAAACCTCATTATCTAGCGCGCGCACTCACGGCTGCCGGAGCTGCGGCCAAGGGACGCC